GCAGATGTGGTAATATTTAATGTAGCCGAACCGTTGTATTACAATGCCGTTATGTGATTACTTTCAAAGAGAAAAGCAAGAACACTCAGAATAAAGTATTATTATTATTTTTTTTAATGTTTTCGGATTTCACATCGCAATAAACACCATATCCCAACGTGCATTGCCGGCTTAAAACATCCAATCAGCGAGCTGAGGATCTTTCCTACGTCTGTTTCCGGTATTGTTCTGTAATGAGAGTTCACATTTATGCTACATTGAAGGGTGGAATTGACTACACATCTTCAGAAACATAATTTGCTTCAGATATATACTGTAACTCATAGCAATATGTAACCATTAAGAAAAGCCAACTGCATTAAAAACCCAGTTAACAACCACAAGGTAAAGTATTTTTCCTTCAGTATGAAGATGTAATTCCAATGTAGACACACCTGGGGTCGCTGTTCAGTCTGTTACGCTGAGCCATGCATTGTCTGGAACGTAAAAGGGACGAAGAAGACAAAGTGAAGTGACGTACTTCCGGTTCAATGTGAAAACATTCCCAGTTAAACCATAGATATATATAAAAACATATTGTTTATATATATCTATGAGTTAAACAACATAAACAAATCGCTTAATAAAAAGATAACACACTGGCATGTAATTTACGTTTGGATTAAATAGAATGGTTTTGAATAATAGATGAGAGTAAAATCTACGTCACAGCCCCACCCACTTTTGGGGAAACCAACGCTGTCATTTGAACGGCGATCAAGCCTGAAGCCACAGAGCTCTTCTGCTGTCCTTAGAGGAAGTTTGAGGTGTTTGAGGTGCAATAAACGACACAGCAGCTTTTTGGCATGTTAAAACTCTGCCTCGCAGCTGGCGAAATTACAGCCTCGCCTACTGATTTTAATTTAACCATAGGATATCAAGCCCGATCGTCGATTTCAAATGTGTGCTCTAAAATGATATTAATAAATTACTATTATCATTATTATAAGCTAGAAAAGAAATGTCAAAGATAGGTAGAAAGCAAACGTATTTAAGATATGTTCAGAACAAACGTAACGTGGGACAAAATTAAACGTAATTGAGAATGCTGTATGAAACGACTACAAACAATATTGTGATTATTAACCATTAACCAGCATAATAACGGATTTGGTCAACTGAAAAGTCAGCCGCCAGCCAGCGCGAAAATAAGTTTGCTCTAAATGATATTAATAAATGACTATTATCATTTTATAAGCTAGAAAAGAAATGGCAAATATAGGTAGAAAGCAAACGTATTTAAGATACGTTCATAACAAACGTCATGTGAGAGAAAATAGGTTTCTAGAAGATATGTAGAAAATAAACGTATTTAAGATATGTTCAGAACAAACGTAACGTGGGACAAAATTAAACGTAATTGAGAATGCTGTATGAACGACTACAAACAATATTGTGATTATTAACCATTAACCAGCATAATAACGGATTGGTCAACTGAAAAGTCATCCGCCAGCCAGCGCGAAAATAAGTTTGCTCTAAATGATATTAATAAATGACTATTATCATTATTATAAGCTAGAAAAGAAATGGCAAATATAGGTAGAAAGCAAACGTATTTAAGATACGTTCATAACAAACGTCATGTGAGAGAAAATAGGTTTCTAGAAGATATGTAGAAAATAAACGTATTTAAGATATGTTCATAACAACGTAACGTGGAAGGAAATACGTTTCTTGCAAAACGTATTTGAGAATGCAGTTTAGTTTTGTGGGAACGTAATTTCTAGGAGACAGGGTTGTGCTGCTACACTCGAGTTGTCAATTATTATTTTATTATCATCCATTTGACCACCAGGTGGCATTAACTGATCAATATCAGTGTTTGTTCATTACTGAAATCAGTTTTGAGTCTAAGTAACTGAAAAACATGTGAATCATTAAACAAATATATATATGTTTTTTCAAGGGTTAAGTAAAGCTTTAATGTGCTTAAAATATTTACCAATTCATATATTTTGATAGATTTGTAATTGACATAATGCACCGATTTACATCCTCAAGTTCTTTATTTATCATATGCATCACAATACATAGAAACAGAATATATATCTCAGGCTCTTTCCAACATCGCTTAATAAATATGAATATAAATGAAAAATGGTGTAAGTTAAAAGCAAAATAAGTATCAGTAAATCTGTAAATTAACAGTTTGTGCATATTAATAGTATAATATAAGTAAGTAAAGCATTCTGACTCCTAAACAAAAACTGATATTGATGATATATTCTCAAACTGTATACAGTAATAAAAAACATTTGAAGTACTGAGAGCCCGACTCACGTGTTGATTAAAAAAAGTGAAATGTTTCTGTGGAAAAATATCAAACTGATGTGTTTTCATTCCAAAGTCAGCATGTGGCGTGTGTGTGTGTGGGTGTGTGTTGGTGTGGTGTGTGTTTGTGTGTGTATGTGGTGTGTGTGTTTGTCTCTCTTTCATCTTGATGTTGGTCGTCCCGGGCGTCAGAGGTCGGGTGGCGTTGTCATCCCAGTGATTTCCCTGTTTCCTGTTTGGACGTCCTGGCATGTCCGCTTATCAACAACACCCACTTCCTGTCCCGCCCCCCTCCTGAGCTGTCGATCACAGCAGGGAAACTCAGGCAGGGAGCCTGCAGAGAAAACAGCTAAATGTAAGACTTCTTTTATAGTATTAAATGATATATATAAGTACAAAGAACCCTCACTCATACAAGAGTCACAATGAATTAAAAAAGCATCCACCTGCTGTTTAAAACAAGGCACCAACTGACCTTTGAGGCCTCCAAACCACTTCATCATTTAACAGAGAGGCTTAATAAGTAAGGAATTTGGCTTCCCAATGTATAAGCCTAAAACAAAAACATAGTTAGCATACTTAATATTTGTTAGCTACAGTAAAGTGCTTGCGAAACGTCATGCCTGTTACAAAAGTGTTGTTCTGTGTCCGGTGATCTTTAATTAATGCTAATTGAGCTGCTGCTGGCCACGCCCCTCTGAGAAGATGATTGGTTTAAAAAAACACAATGGTGCTGTAGGAATGAGTTTCAGGGTGAGAGAGAGAGAATCTTGTTCCTGCAACTTTCTTATATCTCATAATGCAGAGGGGACACATTTTTTATGTATAAAAGACATGAATAAGTTGGGCATTATCGGTGACCTTTTAACCCTTGTTGAGTTTACAAACAGCAACTGAAATATCCTAGTGGCGACACCTCTGGCGATAAGACGTAATTGCAGGTCGGAATTTTGTTTATACAGTTCCCGGAGATCCTAACAGTGAGAGGGATTATTGTTTTTCGAGGGAATATCGCCACAAGACTGCCATTTTGCATCCAATCCATCACGTATGTGTTTGGTATTGGTCCTGATTGTAACAGGTCATATAATCCTCCTGTTTTATTCATTTATATGAAGTATTATGATTATGAAGTTTTCACAATGTTTTGATCAAGAAAACTATTTTCAACTTTTTTGTCTGAATAACTGAACATGTCTTCTTTTAAAAATGCAGTTTCACGTCAGGACATCAGACCTCTTGACGCTGAGACCGACAGACAGGTAGACCTAGAGATCTGTGAATAATCAGGAACTAATACAAAAAAAAAATTCAGATCTCAAGAATCTTTTTATCCAGATCTTGTAACAACCTGGAAGATGAACACCAGACAAGAACCAGACACTGACATATGATATTAATAAATACAATCTGATTCATGTCAGTGAAAGATGGTTACAGCTGATGGAAATGAATGTTAACTGCTGCTCTGTTTGCAGGAAAGTACCCCCCCCCCTTCCTCTCTGCAGACAGGAAACACTGCTCCCTGTGGCACACATGTTGATCCATCTGTCCATCTGTTTGTCCACCAAAGAGACAGAAATCTGAACGAAGAGCAGGAATATCACAGAGCACATTTCCCAAAGTTCCTCTGTAGAAATACATACCACGTTTAAAGCCAGAGATTATGTCATTTGTAAGAGCTAACCTCCTGCGCAAGAAGAAAGTACCAGCATTGAAAGATGCAGCATTTAAGGGGCCTTAATATGCAAATGTTCAGGTTCATATCAGTATGTAGTGTCTCTACTGGGACATGTCTCCATGCTTTAATGTTCAAAAAAGCTCTTATATTTTTTTCATACTGCCTGTGCTGCAGCACCTCTTTTCACCCTCTGTCTGAAACCAGAGCCCAGTCTGCTCAGATTGGTTAGCTGGCCGGCTCTGTTGTGATTGGTCAACGCGCTTAGAGATGTCCCGCCCTTAGTCTGTCACAATGTGTGGAAGCCTACCAATTAAGGCGCAAGTGGTACAATAGGCGCTTTCACACCGGAGTACTTTTCCCCGCACTTTTCCCTTTTAGTTCCGATAGTTCCTGGGATTTTGCGTTCACACCAAAAAGAGAACTTAGTTCATGAGAACTTTTCCCCCCTTTTCAGTCCCTGCTAGAGAGGTGGGTACTTTCCTGGGGAGAAAAAGTTCCAATTTCTGATTGGCTGGCGGATTGCAAACCATGCCCCGTAAAACTGGGAAAGGTTTTTGTGAAGCCGCCATTGTATTAGCTGGCATTAGCATTATTAGCATTAAGCCCCGCGCACCAACGGAGAGAGACTAACTTATGGCACCACAAAAAAACATGGGAGCAGGGTGGAGGTGATGAGGAGGTGTCGGCGTTCTGGCGATTTACTCTCGGAGTCCCCAACACGGGGACTTCCGGCCGGGGACTTCGGGTGGCAGTATACGCCGTGAAGTTGTTTGCGGCCTGCCAGTAAACCCAAAGCAGAAGAAGAAGCAGTGACGTCAGCGGCTTCATTTGCATAATCTTCCCTCAGGGGACTTATTCCGGTGTGAACGCAATTCGCTCTTTAGTTCCATGGGGGCACTAAGTGCTGGGAACTAAGTGCTGGGAACGAAGTACGGCAAAGTACTTGGTGTGAAAGCGGCTTATAGTGATTTCGTTTTGAGGTAAAACATTCTAGTACAAACACTCGTTGCTAATGAGTAACTTTTAATAGGAGTAAACGGGGCCTGCGTCCAACACTTCATCCATTCCTCTTTATATTTCCATTGTCTCAAGGTCTCAGAAAAACATTGGGCGTCAATGTTCATAGTGGCCAAACTGTGGAATTGCTCCTTGCCATGGGGCCCGAGAACTTTTTCACATTGACTCACAAGAGACGTCTGTAAATCGCCGTTTCATTTTTTTTAGATCATCAATTTCCCAGCACGATCCCTTTTAAAGCTCTTATTTCAGTCATGTGCCCTTTATCGTCTGGGATTTTGGCTGTTTTTTTCCGTGACAAGGCAACTGTCAATGACATCATCTTGTAGTCTTCTCTGATTGGCTGTTCTACGAGGGGAAGCAGATGGAGCAGCATTCCAGGCAGATCTCCAGGCAGTCAGTGGATCCGCAGCAATCCTCCATTATCCCACGTCAACGGCGGCCTGACAGGCGTCCTCCACGCAGGCAGCAGCAGCACCAATCGCAACGTCGGCAGCAGCAGCTGTCTCGTCTCCGCCCCCTCCACAGGCCAGACACTCCCCAGCGCCGAACACATGGAGAGCATCTCACAGAACAGACAGGCCAGCAGGCAGTGAGCACAGCAGTCTTGTGGGACGGGAATTAAAAGAAATGAATAATATACTCAACCTAGTGTTTAAAGGTCCCCTATTATACTGTGTTTCATCAATATATTATAGGTCTCAATATTATACAGAACCTGTCTCTGATTGGGCTGAAACACCAAACAGATCATTGCAGCATTACCCATAATCCCCTCTGTTTCAGCCCTGTTTCCAAAGTGCTGATTCTCTGTCTGTTACTTTAGATGAAAAATAAGGAGCTCCTCCCCACGCCCCTCTGAGAGAGATTTGGTTAAAAAGAAAACAATGGTGCTCTAGGAGGAGATTCAGGTGATAAGGTGTGGGGGGGGTTACCTTGGGTGGTGATTGGCTAATGGTTACACAAGACAAGACATCGTTATGACATCATAAAGTGGCCAAAATCTGATCAGCTCATTTTCAGACAGGTTTTTCTCTTTACCAGAGGGGACACATGGTGATGTAGAAGAGACATGAAGAAGAGGGGACACATGTTGATGTAGAAGAGACATGAAGAAGAGGGGACAACATGTTGATTGTAGAAAGAGACATGAAAGAAGAGGGGGACACATGTTGATGTAGAAGAGACATGAAGAAGAGGGGACACATGTTGATGTAGAAGGAGACATGAAGAAGAGGGGACACATGTTGATGTAGAAGAGACATGAAGAAGAGGGGACACATGTTAATGTAGAAGAGGACATGGAGAAGAGGAATTTTGCATAATAGGTGACCTTTAAGATCAGTATCACAACTCTAAATTTACAACATTAACTTTTAATATTAGCAATATTTCTCTCAAAATATCAAAATGTCTCTATCTGTATTATGTGTTTTTTTTACATATATATTTTTTTCTTGACACAACATGTTTTTTTTACGTTTGCCAATATTTCAACATCATCTTTAATTATAATGGCATATAAGAGGTGTTAAAATGTGTCATTATCGATATATGAGACTGTATATAGTTTTTTAAGGTGTTTTCACAATTTGTTGATTGACAAACTAAGTGAAATCTTTTCGATTTGATTCTCGAATCATCATTCATTCTTGAAAATATATATGTTTGTTATAAATATTACAAGTCTTTCATTGTTTGCTAAAATGACCAAATTACATTTAATTATGTAACCCTAATTTCTGCAATTTCATGATTGAAATATTTGGTCTATTTCTTGTCTGGAAAAAAAAAGCAAACATTTAAAGTCCCTGTTTCTTTAGTACCTGATATTCTCTTTGTGTTTCTTTCCTTAGCTGCAGTAGAGGGAAGGCAGTATACACATTTAGTCTACAGTAAGTGTTGCATTAAAGAAACGAATCTGAATTGTAATACCAACGATTTATATTTTATGATGTTGATTTTTTCTGACTGTAACTGATCTGCTGACTGCAGAGGGTCGAGGTGGGTGTTAGTTGGTAGGAACCAGACCAACTGATGCTGGGACGTGTTATCAGTGTGTGTGTGTGTGTGTGTGTGTGTGTGTGTGTGTGTGTGTGTGTGTGTGTGTGTGTGTGTGTGTGTGTGTGTGTGTGTGTGTGTGTGTGTGTGTGTGTGTGTGTGTGTGTGTGTGTGTGTGTGTGTGTGTGTGTGTGTGTGTTGTGTGTGTGTGTGTGTGTGTGTGTGCCGCAGAGATAAGCAGAAGGTGTTGGGCTGATAAAACAGTGAGATGGGAGTTTGTTCAGTTTTCTGCTTCGTGTCCGACTGAAATACTCAACGTCTGTTTGTTTAAACTTCTTGGTAAACAAGACAAAACAATAACATTTTCAGATTCAGACAAACAACCTTCATACCGAATGAAATCAACCTTTATGCTGACAACATACTTTTGTATTTACACAACTTTTAAGCCGTCTATAATTATTTGTAATGTCTAGTCCAATGTCTGTATTACAAATATATATGTTTTTGTATAAAGGGTTTGTTTTGAGCAAAGAGAACAAAACACTGCAATGGTTACAGCAGAATGTAAGTAGAAAGAGACACATTTGCTGAGCAAAAGTTGAATAAGAGTAGAAGAAATCAGCAGTCATTAGTAAAGGCTCAGCATCAATAATTGTGCAGATTTAAAGAGACCCCATCATGCTTTCAAGGTTATCCCTGTGTTGTGTAATATAGGTTTTGTGCATGTAAATGGTCTGCAAAGGCTAAAATCCCAAACTTCCCTCCAGAGGGAGTTTCTCATACTGACATCACTATGTACTGTAACACTCGCGCTCCTATTGGCTAGTTCTCCAACACATCTCTAAGTGGTTGACCAATCACAACAGAGCCGACCAGCCAACCAATCAGAGCAGACTGGGCTCTGGTTCCAGACAGAGGGTGAAACATAAAAATGTTGAACATTAAAGCGTTTAAAACCCAGACAGGAACAGACAGGTCATCACTCACCTTCTCCGGCGACCTCTTTAATTTGGGCGGCGTCCGTCTTCACCGATGTGTGGCTTTTCGTGGAGGAGAGCCGTTTCTCATCGGTGCTTTGTCGATGAGGATGATGATTGTTTTGTCGATGATGATGAGGATGAGGGATGCTGCAGCTGAGTCTGTTACAGGTAGACGACCGAGAGGGAGGAAGATGAGGTGGAGGAGAGGAGAAGGATGAAGATGGAGGAGTACAGACAGGAGGAGGAGATATGGAGCAGACGTCCACACCTGAGAGGCGAAGGGGGGAAATCAGACGTGTCACATTCAGGTAAAAAACAACCAGTATTACGGCATTATCTAAATATATTTAATAAAACAGACAAGTCAAATCAAGCAATCTGATTGGTTCTTAGCCGTGATATAATGAGCCTATATCACGGGTAGAATTGTAGTTACTTTTCACAACAAGTCAGTATCCCTCCGTGTCTGAGAAAAGTTACAACCGTTACAACTGTTACATTACGTCCGTTACGAAACTAACTAACTAGCACAGCTTAAGATGGAAACATGTAAGGGATAATGTGCAGCAAGGACTTATTGACCGTTGTTAAGGACGCTCACATCTGCAGAAAGAAGTCCGGTCGATTTAACTGTATACAGTTGGGCAGTTCCGCTTCGCGTCGGGCCGAACCACGCCCCTTAGCTGTGATATAATGACCATATACCACGGCCGGTCGTGAGATATTGCTTAAACAGTACATGCATTGTTGCTTTGGATCTTTTCATCTATGTATCAACATAATCCATCTTTTTGGAAGTTTGCACATTTTAAGTGTTTTTTTGATTGATTTTCTTGTTTGAATTTGCCCCACCTCTTGTGGACCAATCAAATCAATGCACATTGCTCTCAGAAAACCAGGCGAGGGCAAGCCGGCTGAGCCATTTTGGTCTGAAAATAACCCCTTTCAGTGTCAGAAATGTAACAACATTTCCCTTCTGAGATTAGCAAAGGGCTTTCACGTTAAGGGACAGTGAATAACTTGTTTACCAAAATGCTGTAAAAAACGGAATAGTCAATGTCAAACCTGAGGTGACATCTAGGTTGTTTAAGTGTTTTCAAAAGGGTTCTTAGAAAATAAAGAATACAAAAAGAATCAAATGCAAGTTACATAACCTCCACTACCCCAATAGCTACCTTTCTGTTTTCTGATTGAAGAGGCGAGCTGTGAGGGCAGCAGGCGAGCGATGTCATTGGTGGATGAGCTGTCCGTCACAGATTCATCACCGCTGTCACCTTCCTCCGACCTATCAGAGAGCGGGTGAGGGGCCTCAGCAGGAAGAGGATCTAAAACATCAGAAACAAGCCGCCATCTTTTAATCTGCACGTAATGAAGGAAGTAAGGAGACAAATCCTCTGATGTCATCACTTGGTTTCATTACATTACGTTACATGTTACTTGTTAGACTCTTTTATCCAAAGCGACTTACACGCTCAATACTGTGGGCAATCCCCACAGGAGCAATTTGGGGTGAAGTGTCTCAGGGACACAACAACATGCTGACTGCAGTGGGGTTTGAACCTGTACTCCCCTGATCCGACACCAACGCACTATTCCACTGCGCCACACGCCTCCTTTCATAAATCAGCTCATCGAACTGTAACTGAAAGGTTTTGTTATTTATTTCCACCTGTGTTGTGATGCGGGAGCGTCCCATTGGCTGTCGGCTGGCTCGATATGCATTCTGATTGGACTGCGTTCTTATTGGCTCCGCCCTCTGTGATGTCAGAGCCACGGCGGTGTGATGTCACTTCCATCCTGTCAAGTAATGACATCATTAAGTAAATAAAAGATATATAATTAATCACATTTTAATAATGTAATGAATTGACAACAAGGATTATACAAGCATGTTGATATTAATTATAGTTATTATAATAATATTGATAATGATAGAGTTGACCGTACTTAATAATGATAGTATTTTTGATAAGGGTGATGGGGTTAATGTTGGGCTGAGCGTTAACCCTAGCCTTAACATGAAACACAACTCAAAATGATACAAACCGAAAAAAGGAAAATGCAAAACATTTAAAGAATTGTTAAAATATTAACTATATTACATTTAAAATAGATTTTAAAATACTAATGGATACAGTCAATACAAATAAAACACTGCATACATCTTTACATTTCATCTCGATCATAAGTATAGAAATACTTTTACTGCAATCATTTAATCGGATGACTAAACCTAAAGCCTTTTAAATTGGTAATGTATGACATATTTATTTGTCTCAAATAGTTTCCCAGTTCACATTTGTTCTGTCTTTCTATTAGTTGTTCAGTATGTAGAAAATATTGTTTGGAATATGCAAATAAAGATTGTGATGAGAATAAAACATAAACATGTATTAATCCAGAGGGAAATAATTATGCAGCAGAGAGAGTGTCGAGTTGGAAAGTGTGAGGATGAAACAAAACTCGTTCATCCAAACATTTAAACAAACAAACAAACAAAAAAACTAAAACTAGAAGTTTCTCACCTGTAGCCTCTGAGCTCCTTTCCTTCTTTGTTTGTTTGTTCCTTTGTTTGTTTGTTTGTTTTTCAGTTGCTTTCTTTCTTACTCCACTCTGCGTTGCTCTTCAAACGGTCTGCTGCCGAGTTCAGTTGTGACCGCCTCCTCCTTTACATAGCAGTAACACACACACACACACACACACAACACACACACACACACACACACACACACACACACACA